CAGGGCTGATTAAGTGGCATAGCTGGGGTTGAAATCCAGGTCTGTCTGATTCTATTCTCATGACTTCTGGAGTGGCTGTTTCTCAGACCTGGAGCTCTTCTGCAGTCTTAGTCTCCCTATAAAAAGAGCAAGCAAGTCAAAAACTTAACACCAACCCTGCATTTCTCACGTGCCTTTAAGGCAGCATGTTCTTTGTATGTTGTGTCTCTGTTATCAAGGAATGTTTAACTGGGAGGGAGACCAAAACTCAGAGGAATAATAGGTGAAGCCAGGTGGAAAACTTTTAGTTTAGCTCTTCGGAAATCTAGAGGTCAGCAAAATTGGATAGGTATCGTTTTCCTAATTATCAAGAAAAATCTGGTTTCCTTTGCTATTACTACTCTCTAATCTCATCACATACTTCTGCCTCACTGTCCAGCTTGGCGGCTTGAACTTTAGCTATCCCATCCACCTTCCAGCCAGCAGTGTCAGAGGAAATGGAAGAGACCATGTTCCTTTCATTTTGGATGCTTTCTCTCATATTTTAGTTTTTACTTCTTTTTTACTTCCTTCTCCAAATTTTGCTCCACTTTATGGCTAGCTGTTGCACTCCTCTCCAGTTGGTTTTTCATTGCAGCATCAAGAATGTCCTTCAGTTCTCTGATTCTCAATAGTAAGTGGAGCATGAGGAAAATGATAAAGAGCACCTACAGCATCCAAGTAAGCAAGACATTTAGCAATTTGCAAAAGATGTAACTATAACTTGAGCAGTATTCCCAGAGAAAATCACTCTCATTCCAGCTATTTGCTAAACCTCCTTCTCTTCCTTCCCCTCCTTCTTTCCATATTCCACCAAAGCCACGTAGGTACATGTCTGCCATTGAATCATTTCAGTAGTCCCAGCTTGTCAGTTTGGAATGGTTACCCATGATAACAGAATTCTAAATTTGAGAGATTGTGCTACTGCCAGAGGCAAACTATTGTGCATAGGTAGCTTTTCTCAAACACATACCTTTCATGTACATTACTTAGATCCAGATCATCTTCTGCTCATGCTACAATAGGCTTTCTTGCAGTCAACAATCCTAAGTAAAATGATTTTCTTTTAACTGCAGACCTACTCTATCAGTTTAAGTCACCATATATCTTCATATCTGTTCATTATTTAGCTTTTTTCTTATTTAAAGCCAACTTAACACTTACAACATGTTCTTTACCTATTGTAAGCAGCCAGAATGGTTCTTCCTATCTGGGCAGACTTGGTCCACCATCTAGATGAGGTGGAGAGAGGTCAAGACTGGAACAGAAGTGAGTAGGTTGGACCCAGAGAACATGCAGATCATAGTCTGCTTAGATTCTAACATTAGAAGCCAGGAAAAATAGGCAGGGAGCCAATAAGAGTCAAAACCTGTGGCAGCAGGGCTGAAATGCATGGAGCTTCCAGAGAGCAGAATTCTGGCAGAAGCAACTCTCTCCTCCGCTGCTTCCATGAGATCAAAGCTATCCAATAGAAACACAGTGCAAGCCTTATGCATCATTTAAAATGTTCCTAGAGTCATGTGTTTTTAAAGTAAATGAAAATAGGTGAAATGTATTTATTCTTATGAAATATAATATTGAGGTTTCCTATAATCAAATATATCCAAAGTATCATCACCTCAGGAAATGTAAATCAATATTTTTAAATGACTAGGAGGCCTTTTACACTCCTTTTTATGCACTAAATCTGCAAAACTTGGTATGTATTTTATGCTTTCAGCAAGCCTCTGTGGGAAGCAGCCACATTTCGAGAGCTCAACAGACATGCACAGTTAGTGAGTGACCCTGTGTTGGAGAGCACAGGTCTAGACCATTTCTGCTCAAAGTGTGATTTGGGTACCAACACCATCAGCATCATCTGGAGCTTGTTAGAACTGAAGAATTTCAGCTGTTTCATAAATCAGAATATGCCTTTTAATTAAATCGGGGGACATTCAAGTTTGAGGGCAAAGGCAGAAGCCCTTTAGAAGAAAATTTGAGTTGGCAACTGCTTACAAAAGTATCAGCTTGGTTGCTAATGTGGTAGAGAGAGAGTGCAAATTTTTCTCTCTCATGGCTCTTTGCTCAAATAGAAACAACTATAATAGCACCAGAGCTGAGTAACAAACCATCTCGAATGGAGTTTGAGTTCTTCAAATGGTTTGAAGAAAAACAACACTTCTTTCGGTATCTGTCCAGCAACTGACAGTCCTGTATTAAATCTACTCTGGACTGACCTTTGATAAAACAGCTTAAAGTGATGTTGGCCCCAACCCAAGACCTTTGCCAAGGCAGAGTCCCTGGGAATGTTTCAAACTCTACCAATCTCTGCCCCTAAATAATTCCAAGAGACCTAAAGTCCTCATCATTTGACTCATACCCTTGGACAGAAGTATTATTTCCAGAAAAGCACCAACAACATGCAAAAACCATCCCTTGAAAAGGGCATCTAAAGTAGGTTTACCTTCATCATATTGAGAATTTGTAGGAAATGGGGAGGAGAAAAGGAATAGAAAGCCAAAGCTTTGGCAGAAATGGGAAAAGTTTTGTACATGAAGAAAGCAGATTTGCCGCAAGTGAGGACAGACAGGATGAAATGGTGTTAGTGAGGGATCGAACATAAACTTCTCCAGCCTTGGAAACCTCACCCTGAACCCTCCGCAATACTGCCATGAACAAATTTGCATAAACGCCTCCAGTGCCCAGGGTGCCAGGGGAGCAGAGAAGCTTCTACTTTTGTTGGGAGTCTTGCTGGGGGAATACATGTACGGAAACTTGAATGATCATGTTGATGCAGGACATCAGAGATAGAGGCAGAAATAGCAGCAGAGCTAGACCCAGGGAGTACCTATTGGAAAGAGACAGAGAGCCATAACAAGACATGATGTGGATGTGTGAGGCTCCCATTTGCTAGGAGGTGACCATAATCACACTCTTACTGGGTCTGGAGTGAGAAAAAGATGCCACATTGACACGTCACTGTGTACAGGAAGCTCCTTGCTTTTCCAGGCTCACCCTGATTAGAGGTGAGGACCCAGGAAGGGTGTGCATGCAAGACTTCCCCTTGCACACATTTGTTACCCACGGTCAGCAGGAGAATCAAACAAACAGTGTTTGAGCAGGTGCCCTTTTCCGAATGAAATTGCGTGTGTTATTTTTAATATCTCTTGTCCATCTGCTTTGGTTGTTTCCTCTGGCCCAAAATAGAAGGCTTCGTCACATCACCTGGATGCAGATTTCACCATGCAGTCACCTTTGCAGCACTGAAGGATGCGCTTGGCTTCCCTAATACACAAACCCCAGGAAGTATAAATAGAAACGTTGCTTTTATTTGTAGACTTAATGCTGATGGGGAAGCTGGCTCAGAGGCATAAAAGCTTGCCTATTCCAATTCACTGAACTTTGGGCCCATAATTCTTGCAGTTCAGAAAATTAAATAGAGGTCAGCAATTTATGCCTAAGGTACCGGAGGTAGCGGGAGGGAGCAGGGCTATTAAACCCAGCAAAATGTGCTTATGTGTTTTCAATTTTCTCTTGTTGTTTCTACTGGGGTCTTCCACAACCAAATTGCTGCTGGTTTATGGACTGAAAAACCTCGGAGTGAGAGGCAGCCTTTCTTCAGCACCACTGCCAGAATGTCAAGCCAGTTCCTGAGCTGCAGGCAGCTCTTGCACAGGCCTCGTCTAGACAGCCCAGGTCCCAAGGCATAGATGTGCTAAGGGTAGCATCAGCCATCAGTCAAGGTCCAGGTGTTAGTGGTAGAATGAGCTCCATCCTATATTAATGCATACTCACTCGATTTAAAATGTTTGCATCTTTTTTAAAAGTTAATGTTCTATTTACATTTCAGAAGGGAAGAAAACCTTGGAGATTAGTATAAAGAGAAATACTGACATCTAGATCCTCTAATCAAGTCAAACATCAGTGGATTGCTAATCAGAAACCTTTGTACATCTTGCAAGGAACTCCCACAAATGCTAGAACAAAAAGCAGCTCAGTTACCCTCCTTTATGAAAGTAGCACAGTGGCCAGTTTACTTGATAAAATTAATTGAAAATTTAGACTCGGCGGAAAAACATGAAACAGGTAAATTCCCCTTTAGGAAACATCATCAGTGTTACATCCCCAGAACCTTGGCTAGGTCATCAATAAATATTGTTCGACTCTCTGATGATAACCCCAGGATTAGCATCCTCTTTATACCATGCATGTAACACTTTAAACATCCTACCACCCACACGGAGCCTTTCCTCAGATCCCATCCTTGTTCAGGATATCATATGTCTGGCAGCCTTAGCCTTTGATACAATACATTAAAAACCAATGATGGTGAACCTTGAACTTCCTACGGGAGCAAGCTGGACTCACTTACATCAACATTAGGGCAGAGCTCCTGGAAGCACACAGAAGCCAAGTTGGAACTGGCTTGTTTTACTGCCACTAAGAACATGTTGGTGTGAACACTCCTGTTTGCATCAAAAGAACTCCATATTTTCTTGGCAAATAATTCAATACAAATTAGGACATTCAGTTCCAGTTTGGCCTGGAGGCCTCAAGTAGATGGAACTAAAATTTTGGTTGTCTTTTATAAACCTAAGATATTGGCCCTAATGAGATTTTCATGTGGTCATAGAATTGATTCTCTCAGTTGGAAGCAAGAAGTAGAAATGTATGAAAGTAAAGAGAAAAAAAAACTTCCTTAGCCCTATAATATTTTGGGTTTCCAGTTCTTTGTTCCAGTTCAACTCCCATCTCTGACAGAAGTTCAAAAAACATAAGTCCCTAAAACAGAATCATGCAACTTTTAAAAACTCATTCAATTTACAAATAAAGAAATGAACCTTTAGACACTTTAAATGACTTTTCTAAGACACAAAGCTATTTGCTGGAAGATACTCTTTCTCAATCTCAGGCTTCTTCTATCACATAATTTAAGAGAGAAAGAAGACTCTTCAACAGGTGTATATTTTAAAGAGATGAGTATTTTTTTTTTAATTTGCAGAATAGAGATTGCTTTATTGTCCACAAGACTTTAGAGGGAGCAGGGCTGTATAACACTTACAAAATGTTCTTCTCTAGTCATACTACAGGCAGATTTTTCCTGTGCTTTTATTCTTGTTGTTGTTCATTTGTTTTTTTTAATTTGTTTGTTTGTTTGTTTGTTTGTTTTGGGTGCTAGAGGCCAAACACAAGGCCTGAGTGCATAATAAACATACTCTATCAGAACATAAAAAAATGTAATCATTAACTGTTCATTTCAATACACCATCAGACATCACCCTACCACTGAGCTATTCCTCCAGGTTCCTCTAGATTTTTAGTACTGAAGCCTGATTTTCAGCCTAGATAAAGTAAACCAGGATCTCCAGACGATGAGACACAAAACTCTGTAGTTCTTTTCTTTTCAATTAATTTTTTTCAGCTGTCATGGCTCTTGCTGTGTTCCTCACAGGCCTTGTCTTATTATATGAATTACCATGGCTTTCTATAACATTTTAAAAATCTAAATTGGCCTTAAGCAAGTTTTCATAGTTTCTGACATGAAACTAGGCTCGGGGAAAGTGTAAAGTTTCATCTTTCTTACTTGAGATTGGTGTGTAAAGTTTCACCTTTCTTACTTGAGATTCCAAATGACAGTCCTGGCCATCCCAAATCATTGAGAATAGCCTGTCTCCCAGGACTAGGCGTAGCAGCAAGGGCCCAAGCTCTCCTAACCTATGTTCTAAGTCACCACCATCATCGGAACATGGGTGAATTTGGAGCTTTCTTATTTTGTGGTCCACCTGCAAAAAAAAAAAAAAAAAAAAAAAAAAAAAAAAAGTTTTAGTTACAAAAAGAGAAGTTTCTAAAATTTGCATGAAGTAATGTTGAAGTTTTTAGCCAGCCCCAATGCATCAAGTCTTAGAATTGCTCTAGCCTGTTGAAGTTATTTCTCCTGGCATCAAAGAAGGGATCAGAGAAAAGACATTCTAAAGAAATATGGCACAGAGGTCAAAAATCATGGGAAAATGAGAACAAAATAAAACAAATACACTTGGCCTCCAGAGACAGTAGAACATAGAAGGAAATATAGTGAAAAGAAAAGAAAAAAGAAAGGAAAGGAAAGGAAAGAAGGAAAGGAAAGGAAAGGAAAGAAAGGAAAGGAAAAGAAAAAAAAAGAAAAGAAAAGGGCAAACAGCCACCCTGCAGTTTTTGTTGTTTTATTTTATTTTTCTTTAAATGCCTGGTGATGGATCATCGTGCTGGCAAAGGGTCTATGGCATTGAGAGCTAGCCACAAAATTACATTTTCTCCAGGTGTTTGGTTTGATCTGGAGACTTCTGCATCAGGGCACATTTGGAAGAGACTGATGTGGTAAGGGAGGCAAAACTGGCCTTCACTGCATGCTTGTTCACGCAGCCGCTGTCTTGCACTCAGCCACTGTTCTTCTCTTCTCTTCCCATCTCCTCCCTCCTCTCACTCCAGGACAGAAGAAAAGGCCATACAAGTTTATGTAACTGATATTTCCAGCACTTCAAAGTGTGGACCTCTGTGAATTCAGCAGCCAAGAGATCCAATCCAGAGCATTCTCTGAGTGTCGCCTCCATCGATTAATGGCAGGCTGGAAGGAAAGGCTCCAAATGGGCTTTCAAACCACAGGGAGGTGTGTCCTGACACTTGGCTTAAGGTCAGAGAGACCAGTGTCTAACTTCTGAGATTTTCAGGGACACTTACAATGAAAAGTTCTGATTTTCCTCAAATGCACTCCACCAAATTAGCCTTTGTCCCAATTCCAAGTCATACCCTACCAAAAAGCTAAAGACCATGCACCATTCTCTCCACAGCATTTCACAAATATTTACCGAGAGCCTACTGTGTGAACATTGTTGTACTTAGTTATCTTAGAGGTTATAAAATAAAGTGCATGGGGTGTTTTCTGTCCACCAGAAAACTAGAACCTAGTAAACAGATTCGAGTTATTGTGGCAATAATAGAATACAGAATACACTTAACTGTGGGAAATCAGAAGGAAGGATTGGGAAAGTCTTTGTGAGAATTTTAAGGATGGCAGGACAAGGAAGTTTAAAGGAAAGGACACTCCAAAGTGAAAGCCAGGTAGAGGGAGATACACAGAGGTGGGAAGTGGGAAGTAGCTTTGCTTGGCTACCTGGAAGGGTCATGGGTTGTAAGCCTGAAAAGATAGGTTAGGCTAAATTCAGAAGATTCTTGAATGGCAGTCTGAGAAATGTGGACTTGAGGGAAAGGAAATTTATGCTAGGTAATTCAAATCAATCCGACAAAATACAGAAATAGTTGTGAAAAACAGTACATACATTCATCAGTCCACTTGACTGAACAAATTATTTTCTTCTTCATTCAGTGTTTGAGGCCAGTGCACCTCCTTAAAGAAAGAAAAGCACTTGAGGCATTATATTCAAATAGTAGCGCTACCCTTACTTAACTGGGGGCCTTTGGACTAGGCTTTTGTGGCGGGAATTTGCTTACTTCCTTCAGAATAAGAAATGTTGCATGGTCTCTTCTCTCAAAGCAGATTAAATCTGGTTCTTGGTTTTCAGCAGAAAGCAAGAACTGTATTCTGTATCATGTTTGGAGGTGGAAAAAGATGAGGAATATCTGGCTTGTATAGTCCAGAAAATATGGGAAGGGCCTCTGTTCTTCAGTTCATTTTGGACCATCTGAATCCTTAATGTTTGAGCTCTCATGAAAGTGGAAGACTCCATGTTCCCCAGGCCAGGATTCACATAATGATCTTTCACTGTAGCTCTTTAATACGGCAGTAGAGAATGGCCAGATGTTCATTCAGGACTAATGAGGTTGTGGGAGTTTGAGTTTTAAAAGTAAGTAAGTCCATGGCAAACCTGGATGGGTGAAGGCATTCGATGGCCAAAGCAGTATCATCCTCTTCCATACCATCAGAGGTGCTGATCGCATCTGGATCTTTATCACAGAGCTGCAAGGAGCTGTCAGCTCTCAGTTGACGGCACTACCCTCCCATCTGTCTCTCAAAGCCAATTCCACCTCCAAATCAGAATGCAGTTCCAATTGGGGATTTCTTCTGAATGCTGGCAACTTTCTTTTCTTTTTCTTTCGTTAAAACAAAAGGCCATGAAACGGGAGAAAGATAGCTCAGAAATCTGAATCTACATGTTTTATAATTCTATCTGTAGGTGAGATGAAGAGAGTGTGGAAGCAAAAGTACAGAGACACATTCTCCTTTCACTCCTCTGGGAGATTAATAAAGCAATACACAGTGAGCACGTGCTGTGTGGTGGGCCGTGTGCTAGATGCTTGATATGCAGTGGCTAAAAGACAGACAGTGAACTTCCATTTTTAACACTATCCTGAAACAAGAAAGAAACGGGAAAAACATTTCAAAAATTACTCAGCTGTTCCTAATCTAGATGATCTCAATCTTCTCGTCTCCAACATGGGGAGAATAGTACATACCTCAGAGAAGGGTCACAGAGTCCAATGGGACAGTGCGTGTAAAACACTCCCTGTAGAACCTGCCCCACAGTTCCCAGTACAGCAGAGCTATAGTGGCTTTCTGGACTTGCTATGTGAAGCTAAAGTTGTTCTTCTTTGATATGTATTTCAACTTCTGCTAAGCTCTACTTACTTTTCAAAAAAGTCTTAGATTTAAAAATTTTATTGAGCAGCATTGCCAGATTCTTTCACAAATGCCGTCTCAAATTATTCCCATTCTGGTAGGAACAGCAATTAGTTTAGGTCACGCAATCAGACGAACAGTAAGAAGTAAACCGATTTCTTCCAATTCCGGTGAGCTCCAAGTAGCTCATTGAAAGACCTTTTCCCTTTCCCCACTATTCTGGAACTCTCAGACAAAAATGGGCATTACTGCTGCAGAAGCTGTGGAAAAGTCAGGGTAGATTTATTAGTCATGGGAGGCTCACTGCTGTAGCAAATCACCTTAAAACTTTAGTATCTTCATTCAGTAAAAGCTTTCCTCCCTGTAAGATTAACTAGGATCCACATAATCCTTGAGAGCCTGGCTTTTTTGTGGTAGTTCTTCCATTGTCTTTTCTTTCCCTCCTACAGATGAATATCTGTAGCCATTCAGCCTGCAGAAAGAAAAAGAGAAAAGGGCATAAAGGATTACACTGGAACTTCTTAATAAACTAAGCTTGGAAGTATACTCTGGAATTACTTATGCCAATATTCTAATGGACAGAGCAGTGCAAATGGCCATGCCTAACTGCAGAGGATGCTTCCTAATATATATATTTCGTTTCTTTGAGTCTTTAACCTATTTTTGTATGATTATTTTAATATCATCTCCCCACCCTTGTAATATTGACTTGTTGAAAATTTTTCAAGAAAATAATCCTTAGTGTGCTAATCACATAGCTCTCCTTCTCAGGGACTAGTGCCAGCCAGTGGGAGCGAGCATGTCAACCTGGTCCCAGCATGCTTGGCCACTGTCACCAGGTGTCAGCACTCCACATTATATGTGCTGCACACAGGAGAAGGTGCTACCATAACTGCTGCCTTGAACTGAGTGTGTTCTCCTGGAGTGAGGCCTATGCTACCGCAGCATCCATCTCTGCTATTTGTCTAACATTTATAGACAACAGTTCGGACCCATAATCCCTGATAAACTGTCTGCAAATGACAGTGCCAGAAAAATACACAAAGAGGACCATGCTGGATGTTAAGCAGAAGTCAACTTGAGAATTCTTCAAGGAAATAGCCATGGATGATAAGACAGAGGGTGAAAGTAGTTAGCAGGCAAGGGGAGATGGATGGGGCCCTTTGCTATGAAAAGGAGACAAAATTATCACCTGAAAGGACATAAGACAATTGTATGAACAGGGCTGAAGGGACACTGCAGATTATGGCTTCAGAGAATCTGAAGGGGAGAAAGGAGCCATTTGCCAATGCGCCAGTGTGCCAAAGTGGAAACATGATTCCACAAACAAAGCCCTAAGTAACCCTTCTATCTCTGATTCGGTTAGCACTCATTCTCCTTTCCAAGAGGGCCTTGGCCTTGCCACGTGATACTTAGGATTAATTTATTTCTTCCACTGAATTGTAAGATCTTTTAACAAGAGATTTCACCTCATACATATTTAACTTTCTCAGGTTTTACTACAGAGTTATACCATGAAATGGATGAATGAATTTCTAAATGAAACAGACCACTCAACATCTCTCATCTGTGAGGCAGATGAAAAATTTCAGAAGTTCTGAGTGCAGGATCATTTCTGTCAGGATTCCTGACTGTCAGGATAAGTAGAGTTGAACTGGTGATGAACTATGCTTGAGATGAGGAAAGCAGCTCAAGTTTGTCACAGTCTTGCTTTCAGTGATGGGCTATAATGCAATTATCTCTGAGATCTCACATGGACCCCATGTTCAGTATGATAAAGAAGAATTAGGGGAAATGTAGCCCCTCCATTCAAGGGAATCTTTATACTCATACTAGAGAAGAGACATCCAAGGGATTCAGAATAGAGAGTCAAGGTTAGGGTAGTGAGAAGAGACTGCCCCCAGTTAAGAACAGCAGCAATTATTTCTGACTTCAGAAAGGTACCAGGCAGTATCAACCTACTCAGTAGCTCCCCAATAACAAAATTGTTTTTGTGAGGTTTGTATAAGGTGTCTGGAAAACCAGGCTAAACATTCTACCCACTGTACCCACAGAGAAGGTGGTACACACAGGCACAGCAGCAGAAGAAGACATGTATATTTCATACACTGGGGGGAGCATTGCTTAGTGGATTTCACACAGTGAAGCAGAACACTTCATGTGAAGCCAAGTTGCTGTATCTGATCCTCACCTGCTGACCACCCACTCCAAGTTTGCCAGAACTTTCCAGGCTGCTCTGATTTGACTGTACACAGCTCTATGGGAGGAGACTGATATGGGGTAGATAAGGTCATATGTTGGGAGTTGCAAAAATTATTACTTCCTCACCTACACAAGGTAGAAGTGTTAGAAAGACAGCAACACCCTAAGAAGCACATAGTTGGGCATTGTCTGCACCCTCTAAGAGGAAAAAGGAACAGATATATAATGAAGCAGGTCAACCCAGATTTATTTTACTTTATTTTCTTCTTACTCAATGGTGAGAGAGACAGAGACAGACTCAGGAATAGACAGAGACAGAGACAGAGAGACTTTCTACATGCCATCACATAAAACTGTAGTGATTTCAGTAAAATACTTCAATAATCTGCTTAAGGTAGAGTGTAAGACATTGGGCATAATAAATAATGACTGGCTGTTCTTTGGAGAAAATGAGAGGAATGTTTACTTATTGGTGGACAGAATGAGGCTCAGTAGTTGGAGGGTTATTGCTCACAAAACTTTCTGGGGTACGTAGCAACCAAAGACATTTTTAAAATTAGGATAGACTCGGTTTCAATTTAAAGTTCTTTTGTTACAGTTGTAAATCCTCTTCTAATACTTCAAAATTCTTGCAGTCTGAGTTTTGTTCATGAAATCTCTGTCTACACCTATGTCTTCAAGAGTTCTACCTACTTTCCCTTCCAGTAGATTTAGTGTTTCTGTTTTAATATTTAGATCTTTGATCGATTTTGACTTTAGTTTCATGCATGGTGATAGACATGAGTCTAGTTTTAGTCTTCAGCATGTGGAAGGCCGGTTTTTCCAGCACCATTTATTAAAGAGGCTATCTTTCCTCCAGTGAATATGTTTGGCCCCTTTGTCAAAGATACCCTGAGTGTGTTTGTAGTTGTGTCTGCATCTTCTAATCTGTTTCATTGATCCTCAGGTCTCTTTTTATTTGCCAGTACCATGTTGTTTTTATCACAGTAGCTTTGTAGTATAATTTCACATGAGGAATCGTAATGGCCTCTTCCTCACCTTTGCTGTCAAGAGTTGTTTTTCTATTCTAGGTCTCTTCTGGTTCCAGATGAATTATAGGAATATTTTCTCCAGTTCTGTAAGGCATGCTAATAGTATTTTGATTGGGATTGCATTAAATTTGTATAACAATTTTGGAAGTATGGTAATTTTAACTATGTTGGTTCTTCCTACCTATGAACACGAGATATATTTCCATTTCCTGATACCTTCTTTGATCTTTTTCAGAGTATTATAATTTTTCAATATACATCTTTTACTTCCTTTGTTGGATTGATTCCTAAGAGTTTCATTTTTTGGATGCTATTGTGAAGGGTGTGGTTTCCTTAATTTCTCATTCTGTGAGTTTGTTGTTTGTATGTAAGAATGCTATTAAAAACAAAAAATAAAACAACAAGAATGCTATTGATTTTTGAGTGTTGATTTTGTATACTACATTATTGAATTTGGTTGTTAAATTTACAAGTCTTTTAGTGGAGCTTTTTGAGGTCTTTTATATAGAGTCTAAAAAATGATAAAATGGGAACAAAGCTTCATAAATAAGGAGGGGAAGAAGAGTTGAAAGGAAGAGAGGGGATTGGGAAAAAAAGAGGAATCAAAATATATCATGTATGGATGCAGATTTCCTATGATGAATGTGACCGTTGTGTATATCTAAAATGTACCAATAAACTTAATAAAAAAGGAATGACTGGAAGATCAAACATGACCTTTTTCACGATAGATAGTAGGCACTACTAATTTCTGGCTGGGAGCACAGGTAGGGCTGCTGACCCCAGGTTTGGTCACTAGGTCTCACCATGTCGTTTCTTGGGTTTCCTCATAGCACAGTGCCTATGTTCCAAAAAATATTCCAAAATGAAGAATGGAGGAAATATTATTTTGCTTTGTATCTAAAATGTCCTACAAAGGACAGATGACAGTGTTGAGAAATGATCAAATCATAAGGACACTAACTTCATCAGTGCATTAATGTTTTGATAAGTTCACAGCCAAATGTACTATAGGAGGTGGGTCCTAGATGAAGGAAGCAGGTGTTATTGACACGACCTTGGGGATTGTATATCTGTTCTCTAGCCCCTTTATTTCTCACTCTCTGTTTCCTGGCTGCTGAGGTGAGCAGATTTCCTCCTTTACACTTATCTGCCATGCTGTTTCTGCCTCATCATGGGCATAAAGTAATGAAGCCAAATGATCATGGACTGAATCCTTCAAAACTGTGAGCCAAAATAAACCTTTCCTCCTTTAAATTGGTTTTCCCTAGTATTTAGTCATAGCAGTGTAAAACTGATTAATACATAGATATTTTAATTCCTGGCCCCAAGAAGTACATAGCATTATCTCTGGCTTATTCTATTGGTGAAATCCAAAAGAAGGTAAATTTCATTTCTTGATGGGAACAGTAGCAATAAAAAGGATAAGAAAGGAGAAAGAAAGAAAGAAAGAAAGAAAGAAAGAAAGAAAGAAAGAAAGAAAGAAAGAAAGAAAGAGAAAGCCATTTTAATTTACCATACTACCTCTTCCTCTCTCTCTCACTCTTTCTCTCTCTTACACACACACAAACACACACACACACACTTCAGTGTCAACTCTTATCATAACCACTTGAACCTTAGAAACAAGTCCAAAAGAATCTGGTTTCAGGACCTACTCACTGAATCAATCTTCTTCTGCAAAGCTGTCTCCTTCCCAAACCCTTGCTTTTCAATTACTCTCCCTTCCTCTTTGACCAACATACTTATCACAGGGTTTGTGTGTCTTTTGAGGCTCCAATTTTTTTTGGCTTACCCAAAACAGTGTGAGTTCACCTTAATCAGAAAGATATGCATTGCCATCTTTGATAACAGGTTATGAAATATCTCTAGAACTTATTCAACACTGCTGTGGAGTTAATAATATCTTCAAAGTGTTCATGATAGTCGTACGTCTCTGCAAGTTTCCCAAAGCTAGCTCTAGCTCAACACTGCTACTCTTTAAAAGTATATTTTTACTGTCTAAATGTGGACTACTCTAGAAAGACTTCAGTAAGTCAAATTTTCAAAGTCATCTAAACTGGGAAAACTTTAGGGTTTTCTGATAGTTTCAAGACAGTAAGAGGTGTAAATATTTCTCCTAACACAAATCTCCAGCATGGTAAAGACCTGGACAAACCCTGTGTATATCCAAGATGGTAAAAGACCTGAAAGTGCAGAAAATAGGAAATAGAGTAGGATAATTAGAAAGAAGAAGGATGTAACATTCCTAATTCCCAACTTGTCTCTAGATTCTAGTCAGCCAAAAGTTGCTAAAGCTTTAATAAAGATGACTGCCTGTCCCATCTCAAAGCAAGCAAGATCCCGACTTTGGCCAGTTGCTAAACTTTGTCCAAGGATCATCACTGACTAAGCAAGTTGAACTAGAGATAAGGTACAGCCATGATTTTCCTTTCCTACCTTATAGAAGAAATGCAGTCAAGGAGAAAAGTCAAAGGGACAGTGAGTTTCCTCTTATTGTAGCTTCTAGCTAACTATTGACTGACAGTTTGGCTATTGAATTATGAATATTAAAGAGGAAAAGATATCATCAGCAAGTGTCATTTGTGATAAATCACCATACCTTGGCTTATATTGATTAATTGCAATTCATTATCCAGACAGTTGGTGGGCATTCGTGTTGTTTCTACTTTCTGAGGATCAGAAGCAGCCAAATCTTCCAAACAACTAGGTAAGAAAACAGGAGCAACTCAGGACAGTGAACGATAAGTTGATAAATGTTCTGTTTTATTAGGTTTTCCTATCATCATCTCATAGAGAAGCAAATTTATAATTCAAATGAGCCCGGTCCTTCAACTACAGGCAGGAGACTTAAACAAGTTTTCTTCTAAGAAGAAAATTGTATACAGTAAGAAAAGCACACATTATTCCATACTGTGTACTTTTGCTATTGTTCTTTAGTCTGAAGATCATGTCTGTCACCTCCCTAACTCCCTCCCTCTCCCTGTCACCATCTCTTTGCCTGTCCAATGCATCTTCTCCAGGAGTCTTTCAGATACCACAGGTAAGACTGGCACTGCTCTACTATGCTCAATATGTTTCCTTGTGCACATCCCCACTACTGCACTTGTCCTATGATTTTAAAGTTACCTGTGTATGTGTCTCTCAAGAAGAGAAAGCTAAAATGTATAGGATTATGCCTTGTACTGCTTTGCACCATTAGATTCTAAATCCATATTTGGCACCTGGAAAGTATTGAGTCTACATTGAATCAAATTGAATGGATATGTAACATCTTCTATGTGACTTTTACATCTTCTTTATTCCCCTCTTTGTTACCAAACATATTATGTTTATCTTTCACATAGTCATGATGTTAAGTGTGTCTCAAAATTGTTTAAAACCAGCCTGGCCTCTGCTCTCTAGAACAATATGTGCTCTCTGTGAACAATATCTGCTCTCTGTGAACATTTATATTATTGGGATATAGCAGCAGTGCCTTCCTGCCTTTTTTGAGGTATACTTTGAGTAATTTTTCCAGTAACAAATGTCCTTTTCTAAGTCATGACATCATCTACTGAATTCTGCGGAGCCAAAGGCAGGTGTTTATAAGATTCACATCCATCTAAGAATGTGGTCTCATTGGTGGATGGGACCAGTGTATACCTTGCCCTCAGCAACCCTTTACAGATACACTTCCATACATTAGTAGGTCTCTATATAGGAGTGTGCCCAGTTGCAGATAGTTGCTGAGTTCAGTCTTGAAAAATCTACGTAAAGTTTTCCAAAATCACAAGGACCCTCAATGAATTTCAAATGCAGAGAATTGCTCTTTCATTTCAGTCTTAGCTTCACAGTGCTATGACAAAACAACTGATATACACAACTGAAAGGAGGAAGCATTTATTTTTGCTCACAGTTTTAGAGGTTTCAGCCTATGGTCAACTGGCTCCACTGTTTCTAGTCTTGTGGTGAAGTGAAAAAATCATGGGAGAAGGTCAAAAGAGAGGAAAGCTGCTCAGTTCACGGCAGCAGGAAGCAGAAAGGGAGGGAAAGAGATCCTGTGTCTATGAGCTTTCTTCTCCTCTGTTTAGGCCTTCACCTTATAAGATGGTCTTGCCCATGCTCAGAGTGATTCTGCCTGATCCTTTTGCTGCCCTGCATACCAATTTTCTCAAGAAACAGCCTCACCAACATAACCTGAAGAGTGTTTTACTAATTTCCTAGGTGCTTCCCAATCAAGTTTACAATCAAGATTAACTATCACATGCACTTAAAAGGATTATTTTCTGTTTATCTTCCTTTCAAATTTTCCAACACCAAACATAGTGTGTTCAGGTGTCACCTGGTGAGTTTTCTTTTCTCTCTTTCTTTCTTTTGAAACTTCCAAGCTTTCCAAGAGCAAAGGGATTCTACAAAGGTACTGAAATCTTGCTTTCAGCATTCCAGTTGATCTGGATGGATCTTATTGACTGACTGCACTTTAGTTGAACTATTTTGGCCTAATACATAGATACTGTGATAATTCCATAAGTGTACATAGAATGTGGTATTCCTAATTTCCTCAATTGCATTGTTATTCAAAGTTATAAATATAGCAGAAAGTTTTAGAAAATACTGTAGGTTGGGAGTCTGGAGATCTGTGAACAGTCTCAAACATTTTATAAAAAGAAGCAATACACGAATTGGTAAACAGGTAAGGAGGTATCTAGAGAAGTAGATAGGTTGGTAGAAAAGAGGAAAATAGATTTTCCCTACCAAACCTCACACCTAAGCCTCATTGTGGTCCTCTAAAATGAGAGTGGTTAGACTAGTTGATCACCAAGTTCTGTCTTGCTCTTTGAGTCTTGTAATCCATGACCAGCCTTCCTTCTCATGCACTCTCTTTTCTCCCTGACACCCCTTTTCACGGATCTTTTCAAGGTGACTCTAGACCTACTGAGGTCTGCTTTCCTAAATTTCAGTTCTTTATTGCCCTGGAATTTTAAGCCATTCTCACTTTATGGCTCCTTCCACCATGGTGGCCAGTCACCCCTGAACCTTTAAATGTTTTCTTCATGTTAACAAGTACCAAAGAAAGGCACCTGATTTCCTTGTTTCCTGTGGTGAATGACTATGAAGTGACCTGAAAAGTCAATGCAAGTTCTTTAAATGCTTCACTCCCTGACCTGCAGAGGAGGGGAGTCTTTCAATCACCCTGGCTCAGTCATCTGTTTGTAATTGAATCAGTCCTCACATTAGCCACAGGCTTTAGTTTCACAGCTTCCGATGAGCTGGGGCAGCCTTCCCCAAACACCTCCAGCCTAAGAAGAGCTGTCACAGATATCTCCCCACACTGATACTTTCCTTTTTAATATTTATAAAAACAAAAGTATTTCTTTTTCTCCCTCCTCTTGAAATGTATATATTCATTCATTAAAACACATTGACGTGGCTGAGGTAATGGCCTGTTGACAGATTTATAACAGGAACTATCTCACTGCCTGCAGGCCTGTGCATTTTAATATAATTAAAAGGCTTCTGTTTGCAATCTTAACTAATTAATATTCATGCTTTCCTCCTTCCACCTGCCATTCCTGATTTGCTGTCTTTTAGCAGATTGATCATGGCCCAGTAAATGCCACCACCAGTCAAAACAAGGCAGGCAGGGAAAGAAAGGAGGAGGAATGCCTTTGTAACCTTGGCTTTTCTGGGAGGAAAAAAAAAAAAAGAAAAACAGCATTTTAAAAACAGCAAATCTTCCCTTGGTTGATGAAAAAAGTAGAGGAAAAGCCCCTGTAGATATCAGAATTTGGTAGGGATGGAACAATTGAATAGGGAGCATAGGTTAAGTCACTCACACTGGAAATCTTCAAGAATGAACACAAATTTCATTTGTGCCAAAATCACAGAGCAGTAACTTGAAAATGCAGGTAATAGATGTTTAAAAAGGAGGTAAAGCTGAAAGTGGTAGTGACAGGTATCACTATTCAGAAACTTAGAAAAGCCATTCACACAAATGAATGTTATTCACCTCCATGGGACAAATTCCGAGGAAGTGTCACATGGTCACTATCTTACACTATTCCTCTATAACAAAATACCACAGGCTGGGGAGCATGTTACCAACAGAAGTTTATTCCTGACAGCTCTGCAAGCAAGGAAATTCAAGATCAAGTCAACAGCAGATTCAGTATCTGATAAAGGCTTTCTCTATACTTCCAAGATGGCGTCTCATTGCTGCATCCTCTGAGGAGGATAAACACTGTCTTACAATGGCAGAATAGAAGGAAAAACCCCGGTTACTCCCCAATGCCTGTTTATAGAAGCACTAAATTCATTCATGAGAGAAGAGTCCTCATGATCTAATCGCCACCTAAACGTTCTGCCTCTTAATAATCTGGCAGTGGAGGTTAGATTTCAATGTGAGTATTGGAGGACCATAAGTATTCAATTCATTCCAGTCACTTTTCTTACTTCTAAATGGAAACTGCTTTGTCTTAGAAAGAAAACACTAAAAGGGAAGAGAGAGCAGTGGTAAGCAATGAAGATATTTATTCATATCAAGCCTGTCACCAAGAAAAGATATGTGCTTTATCTCACTTGCAGGGATAGAAATGGGAATTGTGGCAGCATTTGCGGTAAGACACTGGAGAGCCATGGATCTTAGCTTGCAGGAAATCTAAGTTGAAAGGTAGGAACAGCGGCGTGATACTAGGGCTTCCCTCACAAGTTGTTCTTGCCAATCATGGATGTCCTGAGAACAGGTCCCATGCTGACAACAGGAGCTACTAGAGAAAGTCACCAAAAGGAGCACTTCACATTTAGGCTCCTGACTTTGACCAGGTTAAATCACCACCATGAGTCTTCCACAAAATGCAATAACAATACCTTCTTCAACAGATTAGTATGAAGACTAAAGGAGAAGCTTTCAAGTGTCTAGTGCAGGCAGTAAATATTAATTGCTCACACATTTCCACAATGGAACAAAATGCAGAAGTAGCATTTTGTTGTGCTGTAATAAAAATCATTTACTCTGTGTTGTAGTAAAGACCATTTTCTAGAAGTAAGGGGTGATAAGGAATTCATTTTCTTGCACATAAAATGAGTAAAAAGGGGAAAAGACCAAAATGGATTTCATTACATCTCTAAAGCTATCTTGCCCAGTGCACTGGGTATTAACAATGGACCAAAGACAAGGTTACAGGAGCAAGATAAAAATAAATCAATAGCACTGGATTTCACAACAGGTACATGTCTTTTGTCCTATTGATGAGTCACTGGTCTGAGAGCCTGTTTAGTTCCAACAGGAAGTCCATGAACAGACTGCAGTTTAATTGTTCTTCCACTCTGGTTGCTCCCATTGTAATCTTGGGGCTCTTTATTTCTAAAAAGTCTGGGCAATCACAGTCTTCCTAGATGAGATCACATACAGACTCTATTGCTGACCAACTCAACCAGAATATCTTCTGTCTTTTTCTCGCTACCAAACTCCCACTCATCCCTCCAGCCAGTTCAAGTATCTCTTCCTCTGGGAAGCCATACCAGCCACCTTTGTCAGAAATAATGATTCCTTACTTTGAGTCTTGCTCTGTTAACATTAATATATTCCTCCCCTCCAGTGATGATGATATTTTCTAACTATATTGGAACATCTTGCTCATTATTATACAACTTGTGGAAGTGGATTAGGACCAAAGCGGTCCTTCTCATTCTCATTTATTGTTGT